ATCCTCTATGGTCCTTTATGCGGATGACTTAAGAATTTGGAGATAGTGACACGCTCACATTGCTAGAAGATCTCAACAAATTTTTAGAGTGTTCTGAAGAATGGATACTCCCTGTCAACGTGGCAAAATGCGTAACTATGCGCATCGAATACTCAAGCATCAATTCAAACTAATATGAATCTAAGTGACCTAAAAACTACAGCACAGTGTTGTTCTGGGGCAACTTGAAGTTTCAGATCCTTATGGGCAATACTCAGAGCGTTTACTAGAATCACCAAAGATATGATCACTTCTGGTGAGATCAAAACTGGAAGACTGGATCCAGGCAGCTAGTTGTTATCTTTATGGGGACTAATACATTCTAGAAAGGGTTTGAAGGAAGGCAACACATACAATTCTTTGCATCCTACGCTGAAAGACCAGGTATTTTGAATCTCTTCTCCTTGTCATACCATAGGCATGGAGAAGATCTCATTACAATGTTTAAAACTTTAAATAATGACTGTGGACGCGGTCTATTTTCTCTCCCCACACTAAGTCCGAACACCTCAGAGGGCATAGCAGGAGACTTTAAAAGCCACGAAAGAACTATACCTCTGTAGAGTGCTGTCTCTCACACCGAGTCATAAGCTCCTGGAACTGACTTCCAGAAGAAGAAGTGTCGGCGCCCTCAACTGACTTATACAAGCAGGGTTTAGACAAGCACATACACTCATTAGGAAAGGAGGAAAGTAGGCTCCAGTCCTCCTATTCTCAATCAATAAATCAGAATCTAAAGTACCATTTCTACTAGAAATTATATCCCCTAACTTTATACCATTGGATCAGATATATGTGATGAGAAATACAACAAACTTAATCCCAGTAAATGACGTAATAGATAATGATTGAGAGTGGGAATGAATTAGACCTAGATGGCAGGAGGATTCCAACCGCCAGCCTCAGGATTACTGGTCTGACAGTTGTATCAGCTGAGCCATGAGGCTGGACTATTAACAGTAGTTATCATTCCACTGTCACCATTACGGGTAACGCCCAGTAGTCAAGTGAATGAATAAGGCATGACTGTGTCCAGTGAAGTTTCCTCTTGTCAATTCTATTCCTACTGAATTCATAGGGGCCTAGATTTTTCTCTTCACTTTCAATTATCATCAATTTAATCAATAATAATAGTCTGTTAACCATGGATTGTCTCAGAAAATCTATCACAATAATTTAATAAAGGAATATAAAACAAAATGTCAGATCGATAGATAGATAGATAGACAGACAGATAACAGACAAGACTAATGACTTTTTAAGAAATATAACATTCTAATTGTAATCAGCTCTGTAGAGGATTAAAAATAGCAGTAATCACTGTCAAATGATTAGCCATCAGATATAATTAGAAACATTTTAATTCTGTAGATATCTTCAGGTAGTTACTTTACAGGTATTTGATTGGTTTTGAGGCTTAATCATACAGTGACTGCGAATTACTTGATCCCTGTTTCCTTACAGTTAGGGACTCTTCAGCAGTACAAACCCAAAATTCCACTCAAACGAGGTAGAACAAGGGGACCTTCAAGTTATCCATTCACCTAAAGGGACAAAACTTAATGAATTCCTACTTGGGTCATCTGGGTATATATAGAGTGACAGTCAGCTAATGGCCCAGCTTGGTAGATCCTAACTGTCTCGTTTTGATTTCATCCCAGTAGCTGAATGGTCAATGAATTCGCCTAGTTATCTGAAGGTCGTGGGTTCGATCTCCAGAGATTGTTATAGTGAGAGACTACTGATATCTGAAAAAAAGTCATGACGTGTTTTTTCTTATTTAAACTTGTATCATTAGTAATCCAAACATGAGACATACTCAAAGAGTTGCTTCAAGTGAAATTAATGATATCCTCTAAAAGTAAGGAACGCCTGGATAGAAACAGACAAATATTGTGCTTTTCACTGGAACTTTTCTTCACACACACCCCGTATGTTTCAACTTCACCATTAGGGTTCCGGTTTGGAGCCTTTTATTCTAGGTGCAGTTGCTCATCTTTTTCAAGATGACTACCTGCTAGGTGACGTTAAAGAGAGGTTCAAACGGGAATCGAACTCTAGACCACATGTTTGGTTGGTGATCATTCTATCCCTAAGCCATCAACGTATATCATTGGAATTTGCTCATCATTAAATTGGGTTAGTTGGTGGTCTGTCGATCACGTAAGACTATTTTCAATATTTTTCACACAGTGTTATTTCTCATAAATTTTGATTTATTTTGTTACTAAGTGACAATAATCTCTGACCTTTGCTGTCAATTAACACTGTGCACATAAACCCTTAAATAACTATGCAGCTTTGAAGAGAAGTAACGCGAAAAGAGATCTCTTTGTTCATATATATATATATATATTTATATATTCTTAAGTAAAATATGACCAGATTATAATTTTCAGTGCGTCGGTGGCATAGCGGTTAGGACGCTAGCCGACCATGCACATGGTCCAGGATTCGATCCCCGGCCAACGCACTCCTTTACCTCGCTAAGCCAGAAATAATGCTGGCGAAGAGGAAAGGTTGGGCATGAGGCTAGCAACCTCAACCTGTAAAATAAACACTTCTACAGAAATTTCAAGCCACTAGCTTGAAGCCCTATGTTCCACTGGAGAACGTGAAAGAAAGAAAAAGTAGTAATTTTTTTAGGTATTTTCATAAATTACAATATAGATTCATTCGCTCTGCTCTAGGATAAGGAAAATTTGTAGTTCTGATTCTGTTGACTCGGAACTTGACTTCTTAAAAGCCACGCTGGCATAAAACGGCTACCCTAACCGATTTATTGACAGCAATATGAAAGATAGGCAGTCTAAACTGGTGACCGACACAGTTCCAAAGAAAGCCTCATTCATGAACTTGGAATTCAAATTTGATCATGCTTCAGATATGCTCAAAAATCGTCTGTCTAAATCAGTCAGTAAGACGTTCTATGCAGCAAAATTACATATGACGTTCACTAGCCGTAAGTTGTTCTCTACCTCTGTAAAAGATAAGCTACCCCGTCTGGCCGCCTCCATGTGTATCTATCAGTTCACCTGCTCTTGTGGAGCTAGGTACATTGGCAGTAGTCAGAGGACGCTTTCCACAGCATGGTTTTACAAGGGCGAAAGGAAGTGTGAACGAAGCTCTATTTTGGAACACCTGATCGGCTTCTGTCACTCTGTCAACCCTGATCATGATTTTAAGATCATATATAGAATCCATGCTAACTTCTCACGTTTTCTTCGTTACAGACTTCTAAAGACAGCTGAGGCTTTGGCAATTCATGACTTTAAGCCAGACCTTTGTGTACAAAAGAAGTATGTACAATCCCTAATTCTGCCTTGGCCGTAGAGGAATAGACAATAATTTATTTTGTTTATTTAGTTGTTATATGTACTCTTCCCTTATTACTACGATTATTATTAATATTATTATCATTATTATTATTACTATTCTCACTCTGAATCTTTTTCCACTTGACCCACTTGACATTCTAAATCCAAAATCATTAACTTTTATATTTTTATTTTTACAATATTGAATTCTATCTTATCAAATTTCACACCATGTTATGTAACACTTTATATTCGCCTACTAATCCTATAATTATGTACCCCTTTCCAAAATCTATACACCTTATATATTATTCTATATATGACATTAGTTATTGACGTTAAACTTGACGTTAAACTATGATTATAATCACAAATATTTCAATTGCATTTCATACAATTATTATTTCATGTATTCACGCCTTTGACCTAATTCCCTCATCGAATAAAAATAAAAATAAACCATATATATATGATTGTACAGCTTGATGATAAATTCGTTGAAAAGAGTCTCTTCGCTGAACATTGTGTTCTTAATATAGATTTTGTCAAGAACTAAAATGAAATGAAGAATCATTGAAAAACTAAGGTGTACTCTAGGACAGCTGTTTCCTTATGAATTGCCAGAAGTTAGCATTCACAGGTGACTGAATTCCAACTCAGTCTGTGAACAATCCTAAGTTCAACTCCTGGAAGCTCGTGGGTAATCACTACTTAAAGCCTCCAGTGTTTCTCTAACTGATCTTTGACCTGTGAAGGAATCTATGCTAAGTTTAAAGGTCGCATTGCATCACAACATGAAGGTGAATCTGATAGAGACGCTTATGAAAAGGCAGTGAATGAAGAGACAGAAATTTCTGAAATATGATACGCACTTGTTACAAATTGCCGACCATGAAGGAAGACTGAGAAAATAATAAAACTTTTTACTGCAACAGCATTACTCAGACCTATGTTCACCAGTTTCTCAGTTCACCGCCTTAATTTTTAAATTTGCCCTCCAACTTCACTCTGCGTGAGTCGGTGGCACAGCGGTTAGGACGCTCGCCAACCATGCACATGGTCCGGGGTTAAGTCTTCAGCCGACGCACTCCTTTACCTCGCTAAACCAGAAATAAAGCTGATAAAGGAGAAAGGTTGGGAATGAGGCTAGCAATCCCATCCTGTAAAAATAAACTCTGCTACAGAAACTTCAAGCCTCTAGCTTGAAGCCCTATGTTCCACTGGGAACGTGAAGGAATAAAAAAAACTTCACTCTCTTCTCAATTATGTCAGGTTGAAAGCCGATAGCCAATAAGAATTCGTAAACTTATAAAATGCATGATTCTTATCATGAGGGCTAGTAATAAACGTCATTTACAATAATAATTAGCTGTTTAACTATCGATTTTCTCATTTTAAAATTCTGTTGAATCTCACTATGTTCCCTCTGAGACTCCATGGGTGCAGCGTTCGAGTCTCAGTGAAAACACAATCCCTCGGTGGGGATCTAGACACATCCATCTGATGATTCCCATGTTAGACGAAACAATGATACATCAGCCATCGTCGAAGCATCCCTGCTGAGAGGCGACATGTCAGCAGACACCAAAAATATCATAAAAATAGATGTATACATGCAGAGAAACAGTATTTCGCTCTACTTACCAAGATGTTTTCCATAATATCGTTCTAGAATCAATTGATTTGCTCTAGCTAAATCATCCAGTGTAATCGGTTGAGTTTTACGTCGAATAACACGTTTCACTGGTTCACTGGTATTTATAGTAGTAGCAGTAGTAGTAGTATTTGTTGTTGCTAATGCTGTTGTAATATTCAACGGTCTACTGTTTAATGTGATAGGCTGTCCTTGTGCTACAACTGTACCAGCAGCACGTTGATTAAATAAATTTCTCTTCTCGTTTAAACTTAATCTATATTGAACAGAAATAATAATAATAACAATTTGTTAGTTGTTATAATTACTCAATAAATAACAATTTTTTGAATTAAAACAAAAAAATAAATCCACTTACGTTCAATGCACAACTATTTAAACTATTATTATCATTCATATTCACACACACAATACAGTCTGTTTCAATATTTTCAATTTTTTTTATTACTTTTGATTGTTGTAAAAACTATAAAAATTTCCATTTGAATTTTTGAAAAAGTTAAATGCGTTTGAGTGGAAGGCACACATAATACACACTCACATGTATACCTACGCAGTACTACTCACTTACGCACTTACACAAACAAGCACCTACGTACGCACACGATAACATGTAACTTGCACGTGAATATATGGATAGAATGATAGATAGACAGACACATACGCATATATTTGCACTGATAATTTTCAATGTATAGACATGCGTATCACACATGTCGCCTGAGGCTAAAATATCTCGTTTATTAGGCTTCCGAGTGGAACATAACGCAGCTCCGCTTCATTCTGTCCACAACTGTCCATAAGCTTTTGTCTTCTCTACTCACAGTATCCTACGTGTCAACTTTGGACACGCATCAGACTGTTAGTTCCCCAATTATAGTTCCACTGAATGGCCTTTGTGGTGTATGATTTAACTCAAAGGGTTTCCTCAGTGTGTGACCAATCCATCTCAATTTCCTTACGCATATTTGTTACGTGATAGATTCTTGTTTGGTTCGTTACACTGTCAGGAGTTCTTGTCGATAATTCTTTCTAGACAGCCATCTGATCTTCAGTATAAACTAATGGGAGGCAGTTGTTGATAAAAGTATTTAGAAGGTTACTGGATGGCAAATCTCTGAACTACACAGAAGCATTGACTGGCTGGACATTAGTTCCTTAACCTGATTGTAGCAGATTCCAACACAGGTTCTAGGTTATCGAAGGTTTGTCTTTTCCGATCCTGCCAGACTTTGACATCTTCATCGGTGCCATAGCATGTAGTTGAAACGGTGCTGTTTAGATCAGTGAAAGAGTTAATTTCCTTTAGAATTCTGTCGTTGAAGGCGATTGTTGTTTGTTGTTGTCGGTTGGGTTGGATCAGGTACAGTAGGTTCGGGCCAAATTTCTTCATCACCTCTATCTTCACTATGCTCCTCTGAAGTTCTGTTTTCATTACCTACCACCTTTGTCAAATTGTTGGTTTTTGCCTGAGTAACTTTGAGTTTTTGTTTGCTTTCTTGCCCTATAAGTCTTCATTGAATTATAAAATGTCTCATTTTAACCTTTTATTTCAAATAGTTGCAATGAAATTTGAATATTTTTATGGCGGACATTTAAAAAATGACCAAATTGTGGCAAAATTTATAATTTTCTATTTTAAACACGCATTAGTAACATTTAATTGACACTGAGGGAATGAATCCGTCGGTGGTTCGGTGATAAAACGTTCACTAGGCGTACATATTGTCCGCATAACTAAATTTCACCTAGCCAGTAGTACGCCTGTTAGAGAGATAAAGTTGGGTATGAAGCTAGGATCCCCACCCCAACCCCAATTCTTCTTAAACTCCACAGACTCAAGCCTGACTCAGATGGCAAGAGGATGAAAAATAAAAGGAACTAGTGCGGGTTACATCTGATGCCAGCTGGTTGAGACAGTATTTCAAGAAAAGCTTTCCCTGCCATCCCAGTGATTAAAGCCAGTATTTCCTAATGCTAGAGTTAGGGCTATTCAGGGCCTCGAGACGTATCTTTTAGGATTGGTGTGGGAACACAGATCGGTTGATGGATGGCTATAAATGCATTTATCTTAGTTATAATTAGCACTTATCTAAAAATTATATCACTATTGCTACAAATTAGTCACGGAACCAATTAACACAGCACAAGTGGTCTCCCTTGTGCGTCGGTGGCACAGAGGTTAGGACGCATATGGTTCGGGGTTCGATCCCCGGCCGACTCACTCCTTTACTCCTTTACCTCGCTAAGCCAGAATTAAAGCTGGTAAAGCTTCTAGCTTGAGGCCCTATGTTCCACTGGGAACATGAAGGAATAAAAATGTGGTTTCCTTGCCAACTGAATTCTCCTGAAACACATCATGTCAGGATATTCAGCAGTTGTCTGTGTACTAATACTGTGGAAGTCCTACTTTGAAGTCATCAGGCTGATCTTGAAGATAATTTATGCACTAATGTTTATAAAAAAAATCCAGTTCACTCTAAAACATATTTGTACTTTAATTCAACACATGCGTTATCTGTGAAGGCAGGCTTAGTTAAACGTCCAACACATCAAGCGACAGTACTAAATAATAAAACAAAAAACCTAAATGATGAGGTGAAACAGATAGAAAAAGATTTGGTATTAAATAACTATCCAATAAAATTCATTAGGAAGATCAAAAAAGGTCAGAAGCAAAGTAAAAATAGTAATGACACTAATAACGATAACACATATAGGTGAGAATATAAGTCATCTACAGTTTTATCACATAGGGAGGGGACATATGAAACCCTACTTGAGATTCTTAATACAGAGGGAATCAGGGTGGCATTTAAACCTACAAAACCATTCAGGGACAAGCTCCGTAGGCTGAACGACCCTACTTGTAATGACTGCGAGGCCAACTGTATATGTCAAACCATTAGATCGGCGGTAGTCAGATTATGGGAACATAAGCATTCTCGATACTGGATGGTTGGAGGCAATCGGCAGGAAGCTTTGGACCTAGGTCTCGTGCTAGCTGACACTCAACAGTCAGCAAGACATATCTAGAAACTTGAATGAATTCACGTCCCTTCTGAGATTCAAACCCGCATCACCCAGTGCTGCAGTCAAGGATGTTACCACTGAGCTATTTGGATTGGCGATTGACCTCTTGTAGGATTGTATTGGATCCTTTGATTAGATACTAGTTAATGACTTGTGTAGTGTATCTAGTCCTTTGTTTGCTGCAGACTGAATTCTATCAGTCAAGTTTGCAATATGGTCAGCATTCTAGGTGACTTGCCGTCACGGTGCACTTTGAGTTATTGATATTAGATGTTTGGAGGTTGGTTGGAGTTCGTTCAAGGTTGCAGCCACGCCTTGCTGACGAGTGCCAACTAGCACGAAACCTAAGTCTAAGGCTTCCTGTTGATTGTCTCCAACTATCTAATATCAAGTATTCAAAGTGCACCGTGATGGCGACCCACCTAGAATGGGGGCCACATTGCAAGCTTGACTGATAAAATTCATGAGCTTGTATCAGTTAGCTCATGATGAAGGTTGAAGATGAGGCGGTAACTCATCGAGGAAAACATTGAGAAGTGGTTGCGCTATGTCGTGAATTGGTAGAAGTTAGAATTCATGGGCCATTGGATCGGATCTCAGAGGCTCAATGGTCTACGAGGTAGCCTTGTAATCAGAAGGTCGTGAGTTCAAACCGTGATGGTGGGTGCGTACTGGTGAAGAGTCCCAAACTAGGACGAAAAGGCTGTCCAGTACTCCCAGGTGGTTTTCCAATGGTTCTGTAACTAATATCAACTCATGATGAAATCCTCCATCCAATCGAACAAAAACCCTAAAACACCAATAATCGATAGAATTCAGTCTGCAGTAAACAAATGACTAGACACACTGCAGTAGTTACCGACTACTGTTCAATCAAAACATAAGAATTTATCTAAGCGTAGAATGATTGCCCACCCCCCTCCAAAAAAAAAATGAATAGTCTAGAGAAAAACTCAGCAGTCGCAGTGCATAAATTTACACACACTCTAACAATAAGATAGAATGGAACTAGAGTTCTGAAAAATTAATATAAGTATATGGGGAGGGACAGATGTTGATTATTTTAATCTTTTTTCATCGAATCTACACCTAACACATGCAACAGGAATAACGCAACGCCAGTACTAGAGATATGGAAAATATGACTACCGATAAAATCAGAGGTCGTAGACCATTCAGCCAGTCGAACCCGACCCGATAGCCAGCGCATGAATTCCAACTTCTATCAATTCGTGATTTTAGCAGGACCACCAACCCCCGCGCCGTCTGCAAGGATCTGTCCTCACTGCCGACCAGGATGGACCCCACTGGTCACGACTTCTCAGTGGAATTCCAGTCAATTGTTTTTCCTGTAGCCAGTTACTTGAGAGCATCAAATTAATTTTCAAGATTTAGTAACAGGAAGGTCCCAGGTTTTGAACCCCGGCGGGTGCGCACTTGTGTGTCAACCAGGCACACTGTCTGTGGTTCGATTTTCGCGTTATGCAGTTCTAAACTACAAAACTAGTTTACTAACCCAAAAAACAGGGGAGGTTGAACGTGTATAGCTCAGCAGCCGTCAAACCCCCTAAATATAAACAACACTGCTACTGATACTTCAAAGCTCATGCTTGAGGCTCTTTTATGCTGCATTCGGAACGCAAAGGAATAAAATAAGTAATAATAACCAATTGTTAATATTTTTAGTATTTTTATTATATATTTATGCGTTGAAGTTTCTGTAGCAATTTGGTTAAATTTTTCGGGGTGGAGTTGCTAGCACCACGCCTCAACCCTCCCTCTTTATCCGGGCTTGTAATCTAGTCATCAACTTGAAACCAATCTGGAAATCTTCGTCACTCAGCATCAACAACGAAATTCAGATTTTCAATACAAACGTCAAGTCAGTCAGTTCTTCTTTACGGATCAGAAACTTGGCGGGTCACAAAGAATATTTCCAACAGCCTGTTGCAGACCTTTATCAACAGCTGTCTTCGCTCTATACTCAAGATCAGATGGCCGGAAAGAATCACCAACAAGGAACTATGGGAACAAACAAAACAAGAACCAATCGCCCAACAAATATGCAGGGGAAAGTGGAGATGGATTGGACACTCGCTGAGGAGGCCGCTAGGTGACATCGCGCGTCAGGCCATCGAGTAGAACCCGAAAGGGAGGCGGCGAGTGGGACGTCCAAGGGTGACATGGAGGAGATCGTGTGAAGAGGAGCTGGAAACAGTATGG